AGATAAGAAAAAAAAAACTACAAAATTGCAATTGTTTCAAAAAAATTGTGACCTTAAACGGATCACCGTGCTAATGTAATCTTTTAGAACAGGTTTGTATTGGCGTTTGACGTTTGTTCGATAGTAAATGGATGTGTTATCCAGTAAAGTCATTCGCTTTGTTGATCACTTTAAAATCTAATCATTTATAAAAAAGCGGCTGTTATTTTTTTTTCCACAGCAATGCACAGGCTTTTACCGATGAAAATAATACACACTCAAATAACAGTCAATTTGTAATACATTTTTTTATCAACTCTTGAAAAACCGTTTTATTGAAACGGAAAAAAAATAAACAGTAAAAGTAGTAAAAATGTTTTGGTGGTGTTTTTAGCTGATCCAATTTTGTACGTTTTTTTTGTGCTAAGGACAAATGGGATTACGAATAATTCTGAGAAAACAAATTAGTTTTTAAAACAAAACAAATTGTAAGTACGTTTCGATAAGTAAAATATTTCTCTCTAACCGCGTTTGCATACAAAACAACAACAAGAACAAATGCCGGGTCGGTTTGTTTGAACTGTGACGTTGAATTATTATTGTTTTTTTTATTCTCTATTTTAGTTTTTTTTAACTCTCCTTGTTCACTGAAGTATTTTTTTTTTCCCATTAATATTCACATTTTCTTTAACCCCTATTACGGAATATTTATTTGATTTCGTTCTGAGTGGGTGGTAAACATTGACTTTACTTTTTCCACAGCAGACAAAATCCTTACAAGTCGGTGATTTTGATTAGCTATTTCTCATAAGAGACCTGCGGAGTGTATTACATAAAATAGTTTTCAAGAGATTCATACAATAGTTAAACAATATTACAATCTAGTTAAAATAAAAAAAGGAATGTATAACTTTGTGTAAAATCATGAAAACCGCGATAATAATGATAATTTGTTAAACAACACTTGTGAAACGAGTAGAGAAATTAAAGTATTTTAGATGAGCTATGGAAACGAGTAGAGAAGCTGAAGAAGATAATGATGATGATAAAAATTATGATTAGGTTATTGTGAACACTTAAATGACAAAAACTTTAAACGATTTACAATGTTTTTAGAAAATGCTTTTTACATAGTGAAAAACATTTTAATTTTTACTTTTTGGACGAAATTTTAATGTTCTAGAAGTACACATCGTAAATAATATTTATAAGCAACTAAATTGCTGGCCAAAAAGTTACTATAAAATAGTTGTTAAAAACTTTACTGATAACATAAGAATATTTTTTTTTTGCTACCGACTAGTTAGTTGCGACGGATAGATAAAACGGCTGTCATTCATAGGTAAATTAAAATTGTTCATAAAACTACATTGAAACCAGCATAAATGGGCGGAGGTGTTAAGTAGAAATTATGAATTCAAAACGAAAATAGCCAAAACGTCGTTCTTCAGTGAAATAACAAATTATGAACTTATTATATATTTTATAGAATTTGACGATTTAGTAATCAACAATTTTAATATTATATTCGATTGTAATTTGTAGTAACTTACTTTGTTTACCATTTTAAACTCGAACTGGTAAACGGATATTTGAAGGACAAAGGTGTTAACTGTCATTTTTGAAATTGTTCAGGAATGCTACTTTACACAAAAGCTATGGAACTTTCAATATATGTCATTTAGCACCTTTATCCTCCACTGACCCCTTCATTTATTATTTTTTTAAAACGTCACAGATTTTCTCAGCAAAATACATCAAGTTAAAACTAAAACACATCGACTGTGTAATTTGATTTAGTGCAGTTGTCACGTAGACAATCTTTTTTCTTCAATTGACTGTCAATCTTTTTATTAAATTATTTGTGTTTGCTCGAAGACAACTGGACCCTACCGAGAAAACTCACTCGGGATTGCAAAAAAAAAAAATGTATAAATTAATTCAGAGTGAAAATGTTTTATAAAATGTACTTAAGCATTAAAATATGAATTATACGGTTATTATTGTAAACATTTTATAACGCAAATACTTTAACAAAAAAATAAGCCCTCGGAGCTATTCATGTTTAATAATGTTTCTATTGTTATCTAATAAACTGTTCGTTTTGGTAATATTATATTATTCCTCCTTTATTCATGAGCACGCGTGTCAAAAGCATTGTTCTTGTACGAACAATGTGTACACAGTATATTTACTGTGTACACATTTAAGTGTTTCCGCCAAGCCGTACTTGAATTTATGATAATTTTTAAATAATATACAGGGTTATATTGTGTACCAAAGTGTGTATTATGTTACAATTGGACGAAAACATTTTGTGTGCTGAAAAAAATTCTAGTAAAACATCCTTCTTAATGTATTATTAACGGTAAGAAAATATATATTTTAAGAATATATTATATACTGAAGAATTAAATAGCAATAAAAAGTTAGAAGAATTTTGTTTGTTGAAACTTTTTTTGGCTAAAGCGATATTTTTTTTTTACAAATTACTGAACTCAATACTATTGTACAATAACCCTGTATACCCTGTTTATACATTTTTAAAGAGAACAAACCATAATAAACGTGGTTGTGTACAGAATGAGTAATGAAGTATAAGGCACAAATTTTCTCATAGAAAAATTGCAATTTTGTAGTCTTTCTTTTTGGAGGCATTTCTGTTTTTTGTGTCTTACCCACGTTATGTGTACTATTTTTTCTTTTTGGTCTCACATATGTACTCGGAAATTGCCTTTAAGGGGAAAACGATTTTGTGCACAGTAAATAACATGTTCTGGTACCTAACGAAATCGTTTAATCTCAAATGTGCGTTTTCGCGTTTGAACTCCTCGCTTTTTCCAAAAATTAGTTTTTAAACTAGACTTCAAAGCGAGTTTCGGAATACGGTTTCCTTTGTATGCACATGACATATAAAAAACATAATGTATATACCATATTTTTGTAATTGAAAATGTAATACCCTACGCTTTATTCTACCAAGATGATTTTTCTCAAGCACTCGAGGGTAATTTTAATTTCATGGTACAGTTATTTTTGTATGAAATAAATTACCTACTAAAAAAATCAAATAGATACAAATTCTTCAAAAAAAAAAAAAACTACTGTATTTAATGGTTCAAATAGGTGTGTAGAAATAGGTTGTGGGGAGAAATGAAACATACAAGTGTCTTTTTACTTAGCCTTAACAAGTTAATATTTTAATTATATACTGTCGACAGATAAGTTTACTCGAGAATCGTGATGTTCACGGTGATATTTCAATGGAAGGAAACCTTTGTGCAAATAGTCCTTTGGCAAAGTTCCAACGATATCCTTATACGAGTTATGCACTGAGAGTTGTTCAATTAACAATCGGTATATATATATTTGACGTCGTACCTAAAGAAACTATCTTCTCCAACTTGGCAATTAGTTAATTGGCGAGATTACCGTTGTGGATTACACGTATATGTAACCTAGTTCCTGGATAGGTCCTGTAACCACCCCAACCCCACTGTATGCTCCCCACTATGCCCCGACCCCACTGTATTGGATTTTTGTATTGACAAAAATAAAGTACATGAAATAGTTTCAACGACAGTAATATTTGCAGCTGTTTATTTTTCATCTTGAATTCACAACATTAACGCTAGACGGAGGTACTTTATATCAAAGTGTTTCGTTTTGTTTATTCCCAAATGAAAAATTGCAAAAAACTGGATCATTCTGTACGTAGCACATTGTGCATTTTATTTAGGTATTGACTTATATGTTATTATAATATAGTATCAATAGACTGCTAATTACCTCCTACGCATTTTCTAAACATATTGGAAGCCAACTTAGGCGTGTACACGGGTGTCGCTCGGCATGCATACCTGTCAGATTTATCATATGTTTTTTCATAGGTAGGGCATACGTTATTGTTACTAAAAATCATACGGTGGTTACACCTCGCGCTGAAATATAATATAAACTTAGATATTTAAATGTTAAAAAAATATTAACAGTTACAAAATGTCTTTATTTCTGGATTTTTCGACAAGAACCAGCATTTGTCATTCATATACATTTTGTAGTGTTTGTACCTCCACGTGTCTTCTGTTATTGTTAAAATGAACACAATTGTTTAACAAATCAATTTCAGTTTTAAAGTTTAACAAAAATTTTATTTGAGAAAAAAATTGGCACAACTAATATGTCTATAATAACAAAGACTTCAAACCTTTATCTCCCCCTTAAAATAGTTTCATATTCATGAAGTTTTCATTTTTGCACTTAGATTTTTAACCAACTCAGTAAATTTCTGTCTTGCAATTTTCCACTAACTGTTTGTCACAAGACACACATAAGCCAACTAAATTTTTAGAAACTTTTCCATTATTAATTTTGCCACTTCTTTTTCTTTAATACTATTATTTATGTTTTAAAAAACAACTAAAAGTAAATTATCATAATTGATAAATGACGCACTTACAGGTTCAAAATGACAACATTTTAAGTACTCGACTTATTTAGTCGGTGTTGCGAGTGAAATTAAATTTAAAAAATACAAAAGCACTAGATAAAAAATAAATGGAGTCGAATTTGACCCAAGTCGGTGACTAAAAAAGTATAATTATTATTTACAGTCCACTATCTTCCTTAAGGCCAATGACTGGGTCATAGCTGCTAACCGATGACGCTTTAAAACCAAAAAAACGCCAACGACGTCGTCCGGTTGTCGACAAGACTTTATTGTTTCTTGTTGGGAAGCGAAATTATCATAATAATATATTTTTTATCTCTGCTTCGTGAACATCCAACTGATGCAATTCGTGCAATCATATTATACACCACGTTTCGTTTATCTGGTCGGATGTACAGTGTTGTTTTGCGACAAGGACATCCGACGGTTATGCTTGCATAAAAAAAAAACAATTCAAAATAAAAAATACCGTCATGGGGTCAACTGTAAAACCTACTCGTGACCTCTGAAGGTCGGACACAGCGACGACGGTAATAATATCAATCAGTTCAGACGACCTTACCTGTTGTAGTCGACCGTATCTACGCCGTTACGAAATCCTTGTTTAAAAAAAAATCCTTATTAGTTCGACCACTCCTCTCGTCTTGTATATTATTTTATTATGATAATTATCGTTATTAGAAGCTAAAAAAAAAAAACAAATTACAACAACAAAGATATACATAATAATTTGTACACTTACTGTCACTGTCCCATAATATATACGTTTTTCTATGACGTTTGAATGTTCGACTCAATCATCGTTTTAGACTTTGGCCAAGAAGTTAACGACACACACAAATTAATTGCACGTAATACTTGTGACATTTATCAAGTTGACTGCCTTGTACTTTAAGCTTTGTGTACTGAATTGAACTCACAAAACTATTTATTATGAAAAATTAAAATAGCATAAGTTAACAAAACATATACAATACAATAAGTTTTGGTTACTCCAAATTTCATGTTGCTATTTATGTTGGTTAAAAAAAAAATGAAGATTTCCACTAAAACGCTTATTATATTTAACGATACAAATTTACCGATGTAAAGGTTCTAATAATATCAATGCAACACTAATAAAAAAACCGTTGGGACTTTGCCAATCATTCACTCAAATATTCCCATGAACATAAGATAAACTAAGCAAAGAAGAAACTGTTTAATATTAAAAATTACACTAAGTGAAATTATTATTAGCGAGTTAAAATAAAAACTAACCACAAGATATTAGCGTTATTTATTAATTTGATATTTAAAAGTCGAGAAAACCTTTTAAAACAATATTTTTTATTTGAATATAAAATATAATTTTTTATCATTAAACAGCTTAAGGATATTTAATTGGACCTTTTTAGGCAAAGCTGAAAAATAACTAAAAAAAATGATTGTTCCGTTTTAAGAATTCATGCACATTTTATTTTAAAAATAAGACAATAATTTTTTTGAAAATGTTTGATTAATGTGTAGTTTATACTACATACAATTACTAAATATTTACCTTTTTCGATATTTTTTAGAACTCTAAAATTGTGTTTAACTTGAACGGAAACGTAGATTTTTAAATTTACAATAATTTGCTGAAAATATACTTGTAAAATTTACTTGTAGCTAGACTATGATTAAGCAACTGTGGTCGATTTCAGTATAACCTTCGGTCCCACTGTCTCAACTGCGCTGACGCTTTTTTTTTTTGATACTAATTTTTTTGTGTTCCATAAACGCATTGCCATTGTAAACAACGCGTTTAATTAGATCGATACACTTATCGACACACAAAAATCATGCAGTCACGTTACCTCCTATATTTGAATATTATAACCTCCTATGGAGCGAATTCCGAGGCGATGAAAAGGTAGAGCGTTAACTTGAAGGAAGCGATTAGACGCGACTAATTTTAAGCGACACACGTTAAAAAAAAAAAAACAAATACCGAAAAATTAAGTTTTCTTAAAAAACAAGATCCGATAGAAAAAAAATAGATACTGTGATAAGTGATGGTAAATACAACCGGTATGCGACCAATTGATATTTGTCGAATATAGTTTTATCTATCTTTTAAAATACACACAACACTTTAAATGATTGCGCTTCAAACAGATAAACCCTAGATAATAGAGTACAAATGAGTATTTACTCGACATATTGTAGTGTAAAAAATAGAAAGTTAAAATTTAATGTTGGCTTTTATAAGTATAAAAAAGAGCTACTCAAATATTTTACCTAAATAATGGTGATCAAAATACAAATATTTTTGAAAATATACAACTACACATAAACAACTTAATTAGGTACTCCAGAAATTAAACTTATTTCACACTTTTGCCTGGATGTAAATTTTGTTTAGGATTTGTGGTATTCATAATATAATAGTTTTAATTATTTCAATAATAATAATTATTTAAAGTAAAAGAGGTTTACCTACACATTTAATTATTAACTTTTTAGTAAATTAATATTGTAAGCAAAATAATTAGTAATAATAAGTATAATATTTAATAATACATTTTAATTTTAACTTTAACAATTTTCGGACTGGTCCACGTCCAGTTTTGAATAATTAATTGTAAAGTTATTAAAGTGTAAAATTTAGGACCGAAAGAAGGATGAAGTAAATAACTATGAGCCTTACACAGCTGCGCTCCACCAGCTACCGACGTAAACTTTAAACTTTATTAACTCTAAAATTAATGGGGAGGGGTGTGATGGAAAAGACACCCGAGAGACACTTCACTATATAATATATCTGAATCGTTTTCTTATTACTATTTAGAATATTATAAAAATCGCAGTACCTACTCGGCTTATGATAAGTTTCAAAAAACATCATCACAATTTATTCCACAAAATAAATTATATTGTAACCTACATCGGTTTAGTGGTTATGTTTCGCCAAAATGTTCTGCGTACATTAGGACTTAACAATACAAACAAATAAAATATGATATGTTAATGTTTCCGTTTAAACAAAGCAAATATTTTATGACTCCGTTGAAAACGTGGAAAAAAAAATTAAATAAATTTAACGAAACATAAAAATATACAGAGTGATTTATTTAATGTAAAATAATTGCGACTATTAAGTTTTTCTATTTTTAAACGTACATTTGTTTTTGTGCTAATGTACAACATAATGAGTTACCAAAACCTTTTACAATGTTTTCCAGAGTGCCATCAACTTTTAAATGAAAACGCTAATATTTAAAATAATGTATATTTATTGCAAAAATTCAATACTTATGAACAAATGTCTAGTAAAAAAAAAAAAAAAAATGGTTAATACTGAACGGCAAAAAATCCATAAAATTCGATTTTTTGAAGTATTTGTATTAATTTTTATTTTTACTAACTTTTTATATTAATATATTTTTTTTTATCAAATACTTTAAATTTATTAATTGTGCCTATGTAATTGTAATTGTAGCTATTTGTAGCTATTTATATGACGGTTTTTGTGAAAATTTAAAGTCTCGTGATCCTTCATGTAATAATCCCAGCTCAACCAGCTGTATCCACACACAATTTTCTCTGAAACAAAAAAAATGTGTAAAATTTGTGGTTCTCGCTACTAGGAACTTGTATGCCCTGCATAGTGATAATAATAATAACCAGTAAATACAATTGGCAATATTTATTTTTAATTAAGTTTAGATGCATGATACCACATTCCAAGATAATAGTTAATTTCTCCACACCACGGAAAAACATTGAATCATGGATATGTTTTATCATATCCATAGGGTGTTCTTCCAATTATTATCATTTAAAAAAGTCGATATTAAATACAAAACTTAAATAATTAAATAGGATTACTAGAGTTATTAGTAAGTAACAAGTATGTTGGGAAAAGATGAATTAAAAATTATCTAGATAAGAAATCAAAGGGTTATGGACCATGAACATGTATGCAGAACAAATGTAAATCTTAATTAGATATTAGACTGTATTTATATATATTTTACACCATATATAAAACATTACCTAATCGAATAACGCTCTAAAAGAGAAATATGTTTATCACTTGTTAGTGATACAGTCAAATTACATTAGGTAAAATATAAAAATATATTTACAAATTTAAAACATTTAAATACCTACGATTAATTAATATAGATGTTGTTTTCACTTATAACATCTTTCACACAACACAACATGTAAAAATGTATTAAATCAATAAATATTAATATAATATCATAATTTCTATACAGAATAATATCCTCAGATATTATAAAGAGGGACGAGCAAAATGAACCTTTTATTGGTGTGGTTTTTTTTGATTCGATCGTTAGTCAAAATCTCAACTTTCAATCCTGCAATATGAGATCTGGTTCCGTTGGAATAATAATTAGTATATCATATGAAAGTTCATAATAAGTTTACTGATTATAATTTTATATAAGAGGCTCTACAAATATTTGCTGTCATGTTAAGAGTAAAATCATTGATTTAATAATTTTTAATTATTACATACGAATTAAATCAAATTATATAGACCGTGTTGAAATATCTATGGAACATTTTCCTTTTGTTTTAGCGCACATTTTTCAACTGTCCAGTAAATCTTGTCCGGTGTTCGAGCTGCCATCGGTTTTCCCAAGACAATTGTGCGATACAGACAGGCAATGCTGGCCGAGGATATGTTGCGGTTATGGCGGTATTAATGGCCACAAGTACTGTCGGATACCGTTGCCCAGTTGGCGAAACGATTTACTGAAAAGCATTACGAAAAGTAAGCACCTACCTCTTTTACAAATAGAAAATTACAACGAACATATATATTATATATATTACGGCTAACCCTAATACAAGGCCGGTTTATCACCGGTTTGTACATTACCTGTAGAGCTGTAAACCTTTATTTTGTTGTGGACTAGGCTGTAACACTTGCTTTGTCCGTTTGACGCCAGTTAATGTATTACAGAGGAAAAGGCGAGACCAAAAATACATACACAGATAGTAATAAGTATAATATAAAATAACACGTACAACACGGACCCACCTAACTTTTGTATACTGTCCTTTTTTTGTATTACCACTATTGCAACTGCCTTTATTCACATCTGAATGAAAAACCCACAAAATATAATACTCAAAAATTCTTTCAATCACTTATTTTGTAGGGCAAGTTAGTGTATTGTTTAGCTAGCCACAATCAGAATTCTGCAAAAATAAATTCAATAACGAATAATAATAAACAAAACGAAACGAATATACCGTGTATTGATTTAAATGAAAAGGCGAAACAAATTAAAAAAGTTTTTCAGCCGAGTCTGCAACCACGAAAGAGCATTTTCATGTCTCGTTGAAGTACCGAATAAATTTAGGTAGTGGTGGAATTGTAGATAATGATATAGTATATTAAGAAGCAGTAGCAGCAAGCTAGTATATTAAAATATCAAGTTTCTGGCTAATACTGTAGTGTTTAAAACAATTCATAGAGAAATTGGGCCATCCTCATCTTCATTCCCACCCCCAACCCCATCTCCGTGAGGTAAAGCTTTTTTCGTTATTAATTTACTTCAACTACGAGATCAAATGTTCAACTCACACCCAAAATAAGGATTATCATCTAAGGGTTTTCGGTATAATATATAAATCATTTTTAATTTTAAATACGCCTACAAAATTGAGAAAACAATTATTTTTGTATGACAATTTGATTTGTTAGAAAATTCTGCTCAATATACCACGTATGCTTTAATTGTTAAAATTGCATTAGTAAAAACGCAGTAAACTATATTAGTTATGCAGTTAGTAGTATCGCAGTAAGTATTGCTTAGCGAAGTCTGGTGTCTAGAAGATCAAATTAACGTTTTGGTATCAATTGGCCGCTAGATGTCATTGCGTTTCTTTTATTAAAACACGGTTGGAATATAATGTACCTATTTTTTTCAAATTCGATTAGTGAGATTAATAATAATTGTGGGCGCGGTTTTGATTCCGTCGAATTGAATGTCGAACGAAGCGTTCGAAGAAAACCTAAGAAATCTTAAATAATGGCATTCTTTTGGAATACAACAACGAATTGGCTTTCTTACGAGCTATTGCTCACAATACTGTTTAAAGTAAATTTACTAGTCCGTTTTTATTATCTTAATAAAAATACAAATAAATGTTGGGAATTCTCCATTCGGGAAAATGGGTGTCGGGGAAATGGATTTGGGGGACAACATTTTGGTGAAATGGCCTGTCGGGAATTTTACTTGTCGTGAAACTGGTCCACTTCCATTTTTTTTGTTATGTTCCAGTTATGGTTTGATTATACTTAAACTTTTGTAAATTTTGTAATTTTTTTCAAGCCTTCGATAAATTTTAACAGTATTGGCTGGTAAGCTCCTAAAAAATATTAATACAATTTTGATGATGTATTATAGTTGGTATTGTAGTAGTATTTATATAATATATATTTATATGATGATTAGAGAATTTTTACCTAATCCTACTTGCTGTATTTTTAGTTATCAACATATCAACAAAATATAATAAATCCTATTGAGTGGTGGTAAACTTGTACTTAACTTCGCTTGATTTTATTAGGTTTCAATTTGTGGCTTTAGGTCTAAAAATTAGAAAATTATAAGATAAAATTTTTTTGTTATTAAGGGAAAAAACCCTCTAAGATTTGGCTGAAATTTAAACA